TAATTCTTCTTTGTAATTTTTATTTAGTATACAATGTAAAATTTTAATAAACTTATGGCAGTACTGCATCGTTAAAACGCAAAAAAAAACCATTCGATTTCTCAAAACTAGGTGGATCCAATAAGCTAACATTTATTGATTTCAGATCATCTAATCACGAGATACTCGCAATTGTATTATCGGCTGAAATTATAAATCAATAAATTCTACTTTAAATAAAGGAGTCCAGATTTCGAAATACAATCGCAAATATCTCAAGATGGGATGATCCAAAATCAATGAATGTTAGCTCATTGGATTTATCTAGTTACGAGAATCGAATGATAGTTGTTTCATATGAATTGGTGTGATATTGATCAAGATCATACATCTTTTGTTTTTTTTTGTTTTTTCTATATATAAAAATCATGTGATATGACGTAATTTTGACCATTTCGACTTTTCATTTCGACTTTGACCTCTAAAGTCGAAACATTTTGACTTTTGGGTTTTCATTTTGACTTCATGTATAATGATGATATATCGTTCTGATAGAACAATAAAAAAATAATCGTTTTAAAGGAATGATGATATATCATTTCTTTAGGAACGATTTTATCAATATTCATATTATCTATATATTCATGAATAACATGGATATGGGTTATTCATATTATCTGTATATTCATGGATAACATGGATATGGATTATCCGTTCAATTTTTTTAAATTATTCATATCCAGATTTAATTTTTATATGTATAATAGATATTAAATTTATATTATGAATATATATCCATGGATAATATAGATACTCAGATCCAAACTCTAATATTTCCAAAGCAGTAACTTCTAATAATTGATATATTTTTCAGAAATGTATGCACTTCTTCTCTATATGCAATTTCTTTAGTAACATCTAAAGATAATTTTGTTATTAATATTTTACATTAAATTTCAAAAGAATGGAGAAAAGCATAATTTTTTCATGCTTTATTCCTCCCTTTAAATATGATCTACTCTTTTTTAAAAAAAATTAATTTCATCTAAATATTTTTTTATGTAAATTCTAAAGTCTCTTTAGATAAAAATAGACAAAATAGATAAAGAATCTATTGTTTCCATAATAGATAATAAATGAATAATCTTTTAATAAATATAAAGTAATTAATAATTTTCGTTAAAATAGAAAAACTGTGATTAATAAATTAAAGTAACATTTAGCATTGTCTAAGTATCACTTTTGAACGTATTTCTACTTTAAAAGATTTGGATATTTTACTTGATAACAAAAATTTTCCTTATTTTAGGATCTGGATATTATTCAATTTTAATTATGTGAGTTTTGAATAAGATCCGAATATTTTATATAAAGTTTTTAGTTTTAAAATTTAGATCACAAAATTTAATAAATTAATCAATTAATCAATTTTATAATAAATAATATATTCTTGAGTAATATTTCTATTTATTTATAATTTGATAATACATAATTATTGAATAAATGTTACAAAATTATAAATTTAATTAAATCCTATCAATTCCAGTTTTGGATTATGTTGCAATCTTCATTTTTTTTATAATAATTTTCTTTATTTTTATTATTCTTACCATCTGATTCACTTCCATTGCTATCATCTTCAAATTCACTTTCATTATTACCTTTATCTTCTTCAATTTCTCTTCCGTGATTATTTATTTTTTTTTTTTACTTTATTGAAATTAAAAATTAGATTATCCTCATTTTTATCTAAGGAATTTGATATACCACAATATTTAAATGAACGTCTAATTATATCAGAATCAATTGAATCCCAACTTTGTTTTACTTAAATTGCTACAAGTGAGTAAGATGATCGTTTGATCTTTCCAGATAGTGTATAATCCTTAATAGTTTCATTCATCCAGTTATTATAAAGATATCGCATCTATTTTACTTAATATTAAGTTAATTTATTTTAATTAAATAATAATCAAAATAAAATAATTACCTTAGATTTAAAAGATTTATTTAATGATACATCAAGTGATTATAAACAAGAAGTTAATCCACCTGGTATAATAGCTAGATCTATATTTTTTTCGTAAAACTGATTTTTTACTGTATCAGTTTTATGAGCTGTAAAGGAATCAAGTACTAAAAGAGATTTTGAGTTTGTGTCTCATTGTAGCAACTTTTAATGTTGCAACTTATGTTGCAATTAGTTTTAACCTATATATGTTGCAACTTATAATGTTGCAACATATGTTGCAACTAATTTTAGCTTATGTTGCAACATTTTGTAAATTTGAAATCAATTGCTGTACTATCTTTATTCAACGCAGTCACCAAACTCCTCAACCAAGCACTATTGAATAATATGGACATTATACTCTTAGGTGACTTCAACGCAGTACCAAATCGAGCTATTAATCTATCCAACTCTAATAGATTTTTTGATCAATTGGATAATGCTAATATTTTTAACACATGTGATCTTCTACATAAGCATGCTAATTCAGACTTTCCTACTTTTTATAACAATATATGTCTTGCTCCTTCAAGAATTGATCACATATTCTGTTCGACAGGTCTAACAACTGATCTACAAGAGGCAACTACAATCGACATAGACTATAACCTATCTGACCATGCAATAGCTACAACTTCCTTTTTTATCCCAGAAATTGTATCATCAACATCTAGGACCCCTGTTAAAAAGGTCTTCTTTCAATATGACAATATGTTAAATGATGATTGGTCAGCTTTTGCTCACAAAACTGATACTCTTCTTACCTCATGTCAACTGGCTACCTTGGAAAAGCATAAGTTAAAATCTAAATAAGCTTTGAATTTCTATTAAGATTTGATCCAAGGATGCATTATAAAAGCTACTAAAAAATGTATTCCAATTCACTGTTCGTCACAGCACTCACGTGACCTCTGACCTAAATCCTTAAAGAAAGACTATCGACAAATAAGAACAGCTCAAAAACTTGAAAAGCTTTCTAAGAAAGCATTTATATCCAATCGCATTCCTACACAATGGTTCAACAGTTATAACAAAACAGTTAAAATTGCAGTTGCCTTAAAAATTGATTTTTCGCCTATCATTGTGTGAACACCATCAGCCATTCATGCAATTATTCCTACTATTAGAGCCCTTATTTCCACTTTAACTGTGATAGCCAGAGTAGAAGAAGAAGAACATAAATCTAAATCTATTAGACTTGCACTTGAACAACGCTGCGACAACTTCTCAACGAATCAGATTAAAATGATTGATTCAATCCTTCATAGAGAAAGAAAAGTTATAACTCTAGATCGATGCCTAGATAACTCTCAATGAAATCTAGGCTTACTCACTTTTGCTCAGGAGATCAAACAAGAAACTGCTTGCCATTTTCAACAAGTTACTGGCTCTTGTCATCATGAAGTGAACATACCTGATGAATGAATTCCTTCATATGCTCCCATAAATGATATTGATCCTAATATCTATAATGACCTTATGATTACACCTACTGAAGAGGAATGGTCTCATATTATTTCAGCTCTCCCAAATGATAAAGCCTCCGGTCCATCAAAAATCTCAAATGAAATGCTAAAGAATCTTAGACCTAAGATGAGAAAAGTGTTTTGGATGTTTATTTGTGAATGTCTCAACCTTTCTCTCACACCTGATCGTTGGAATCTCGCTTTTATTTATCCTATCCCAAAACCCAAACCATGGGAATATAACCTTAATAATATTCGACCAATTACGTTACTGGAGTGTATACGTAAAGCTCTAGTTAAACTTATTAACAAATATCTATTGAACATCCTCTTAAAACATAATATTTTAAAAGGATACAATTTTGCCAGACTTCCTTTTCGTTCAACCTTCGAACTAATTCATATTCTTGATAACATTAAATATGATGTTAATCAGTCTAAATCGAAAGAATTGTGGATCTTATTTCAAGACATGTCCAAAGCTTACGATCGAGTAAACCTTGGCATGTTACATAATGCTCTAAAAAGAATTTGTTTAACTTCGAACTTTCAATGCTTTGTTCTCTCCATTTTCGCTAATAGTTTTAATCAAGTCTTTACCACTTTTGGAAATACCCCCATTTTCTCAGTCCTCTCGAGTATTGATCAAGGGGAAATCATATCACCGATTTTGTAGTGTATTTATTATGACCCCTTACTATGTAAAATCCAAAACTCCTCGTTAGGATATCGCTCTCAAGTCACTTGGAAACCCAATCTTTTACGAAATGTTACCACTTCAATTGAAGCCCATGTTCCTACTCTCGCTTATATGGATGATACTCTTTGGATGGGCAAATCTAAAGATGATCTTAACGATATTTTAAATATTGCAAATAGTTTCTATAGTTTAAACTCTATTCAAGTCAATTGGGATAAATCTGTTCTTTTGACCTCTATCCCTATTACCACAATAATACAATTTCAATTTAACAATAATCTAATATGGCTCACTCCTATTGATCTTAAAATACTAATTCGATATCTTGATATTTGGCTTTCCCTAACAAACGACAAAAAATATATTTTACAACAAACCTCCAATGAGATTAGATTAGCTATTCAACTGATGATTAGAAAGAAACTCACTGACAAACAAATCATCTTAATATTTAATTCTGTTCTTCTTTCAAAAATTCAATATAGAACGCAATTAACTTACCTACCAGAAACCTTTTGTAATAACATTATGGGTTCTTATCATAAAATATTTCGATCTAGTATGCGCCTATCCAAATCATTTCTGGCAGCCATCATTCATTCGCCGATGCATTATAATTTATCTCACTTATTTGATAAACAATTACAATCAAAATGTTCTAATCTGTTTAAAATAATTAACGATAAAGGTTTGGTTGGCCTTACCTTAAGAATTCGTGCAATACAATTGCAACAGAAAGAATGGTTGCCATTTTCTCCTTTGACTTCTTGGCCTTTCTCTAATCCAAATAACTTTAAAGACTGGTGGTCGTCAGTTCTTTCATCCTTTAAATGCTTTGACATGTCATTAATTCCTTCTCAACAATTTCAAAATAAGATCTGTGAAGGGCATCATCCTTTGGTTAATGTCTTCAACAAAAAAGATTATAATTCATTTTCAGTTCATCTTAAGAAGAAAGAGATCCTTTTCCTTGATCAAATTACAACAAGTAACGGGTCTACACTTTTTACTTACTCAGATCTTAGTGTCATTTTCTCCAATATGACTACACAAGCTATTCTTCGTTGGTTTATCAAACTCTAAAATGAATTAAATATCACATTAACTTCACGGCTATTGCCCAAGCTCTTCACAATCCCTACTCAAATTTTCTTAACTTTGGGCCTCCCGTATTTAAACATAACCAAACAAACTATGCTACTATGTGGAATATCACTCTGAATTCTTCACTTATTGAAAAAACCCTAGCGATTATCGGTGATACTGTACATTTTCAGCATCATACTGTTTCGTCAAATAATCAATGTAACTCAATTTTAGAATCATGTAATGGTTGTATATTAAATAACAATACCACTTATAGAGCCGCTAATATGTTTGGAAAAAACCGTTATTGTTTTTTTCAAAACCCTATTGATCTTTGTGCTAATATTAAAACTTCAATTATCAAATATATTGGCACTCGTTGTCTTCTATCACCTTACATGTTACATGAACTCGCATTTTCTACTTTTACTTCCAACTCACTTCAACCTAGTTTATCCTCTGATAATTTTATTTCTTCTTCATTTTCTAATTCTTTAATTTTATTCAATTATTTTGATCAATTTACTATCAATAGACTTATGTTACTCTCTTCTAATTTCCTCACTGCCACTGATCTTCAATTTTACACTGATAGTTCTCTTTCTAATTTAGATACTGCGACCGTCCGTATGGGAATCGTCTGATTGCAAACTAATACTTTACATCCGTTTATTGCTTTTAACTCCACTTTTCTTTCCAATTCTCCTTCATCGTCACTTACTGAACTTGTAGCTGTTTTTACTGCTCTATACGTTTCTCCTTCTTGCTCATCTATTATTATCTGTACAGGTTCTCAATTTGTAATCAACAATTTTAACAAGTTTGACTTTCTTCTAAAATTCTCACTAACACACAATCCTACATATAATATCACATACTTCCCGATTTGGTTCGCTTTATTTCATTTAATGACTGACAAAAATTTGGTGGTATCCTTCAAAAAAGTCAAAGCTCATGATCAAGATATTCTCAACAACCAAGTAGATGCACTTGCTAAATTGGACGGTCCTCCTTGTTTCCTTGATCTTGACTCTTTTGGTCCAGATTACCCCTTGCATTTCAGAATATACCTATCTTAGCATCACCTAACTTTTTCATCAAAATCTTGTTCAAGGCTATTCATTTTCAAAACACTTTAACCTCATCATACTTCACTCGATATGATAGATTTTCTATCAATTGGCTTGCTTCATATTTCATTATCAATGATAACGAATCACACACATCTACATCCTTTCAAGCCTCCTACCTCAAAAAACAACGATACAAATTTATGCTAGAAATGCTCCCTACTATTGAAACTCTTAAAATCCGTCATCCTTCTCTTTACAATCAACAACTCCTTTACTGTCATTGTTTAATTATCGAGAAAGATTTCAATCATATCTGGCTTTGCTTCACTTCTTCTAATCAGATAGCTACTCTTATTAATACTACATGACAACTCTTACTTACACAACTTATCGCAATCAATGGATCCAACTTATCTGATAACTTATTAAGACCTTTACGGCAGTCTCCTGTGTGGGATTTAATTCCACAGGGTTCTAACTTTTGTTTTATCAACATTATCAAAGGCATAGTTCCTGATGATCTTTTTAATCAAGTATCTATTATTATCCACAATCGTCAAACAACACTATTACTGCTTTCTATGGTTTATTTTTATGTCTTTGAACAAGCATCTCAGATTTAGAATGACCGTAACACTACTATGATTCAACTAGAACAGCAACTTTCTATTACTATAACTGATAAAAAAGAGAACTTTGTGTCCACTGGTTTTCCTCTTCTTCTTATTCACAACTCTCTATTCTATTATTTTTTACTTCCTCCTTTAGATTTGGAAAGCAATGGTCAGATTTTTGGTACAGTAGTGACCAGGCCCCCTGTACTGGATGGTTGAGTCTATTTAGAGTTTTCTTTAGGTAGATTAGTCTGGGACGGTGCAAGGTTGGCTTTGATCTAGCATAGTTTGTGATAGATAGAAGTTTTCGTTTTTTTCTATTTTTGTTTTAATTTTGTATAAATTATTTTCAAATAATAAAGATTTTGCGAAGCTACCGCACGTTAAAAAAAAAATGAATAAATAAATTATTTTTTAAGACTCTCTCTGCTACTATACAAAAATGACTAAAAAAGTGGGAGAAACTAAAAACCAACGAAGAAGTCGTTCTGCGTCTCTACTTGTAACTAACAAAGCCAAAAAACAAAATACTAACAGAACTCTTGAGACTGCTCCAGAGCAAAGCATTTCAGAAACAATGACTCCTATTATCATAGATATTGACCAAACACTTACTCTAAAAGGAAAGGAAAAAGGAGTTGAAGCAACAGCTGAAACCTTCACCATGACTCCCTTCAATGTTGATGAAAGCAATGACGCGTCTGAAAATATGCTAAATGAAAAATACACGTCAGCACAAGATTTTGACCACCCAAAACCCACTTTTCACAGATTTTTTCCGCTTGAAGACTTTCCGGGTACCTCTTCTCAATAAAAAACGTCTTGTGTTGTAGACCTTTTTTTTGACAAATATGACTCCTTTACAGGAGCTACT